CCAAGTAAATTTTCTTAGAAGAACTGAGGGCATTTGAATGAGCCATGACACATAAACGACAGGAAACTAAAATGAATATATGAATGGAAATAAATAAAAAGACAAAAGCAGAGAATAGAATGAGTTAGCCTGGAGAAGAGTGACAGAACTTTTACAAAGAATCAGAACTGTGAACGCTCTCAAGGTTGAGGAAGAGGCTGAAACGTCCTGAAAGCGTATTGAATAAAATGAAGGATAAGCGATGCTTCCATGAGAATAATGTTGACAAGATAATGATAATCAAAAGGAAAAAAAACATGAAGGTCCTGATTGAAGTAGAAGAGCTGAAGTAGATCATTTAGTGGTATGCCTGAAGCAATTATTAAGAAGCGTGATTGGTTCCCTTGCCAACTGGGGTGGTGGCAGTATTTATACGACATAGCATATCATGGCAACACAGAAGGCTGGAAGCCGGTATTTTGACAATCTGCATACTCTTGAATGCACTTGGAAAAACAGTTGCAATAGTTTTTGCTAATCTAAAATAATCTGGTATTTTTTAAAAAAATACATATTTCTCTAAACAGAATCAAAAGAACGTGCTCTAGTCCATGGGGTCATGAAGAGTCAGACATGACTTAATGACTAAACAAACAAACAAAATATGTGGAACATGAAGGCTGAAATTGCTAATCATTTTATGTTATTGAGTGGTTTTACCATTGCCAACCCCTGGGAATTTTTATGACCAAGAAGAGATTTCTGCCCAGATCTCCTAAGTCCTAGACCATCACTCTGTCCTCATACCACCCTGGCTATATATTTTTATTAGTGAGGTATTTAAAATTGCAGATTTTGCATATCACTGCTAAGAATCAAACCTTGACATCTGAGTGTTCAGCCTGGAGACAGGCAGTGCATCACGGCCTTTCCCAATTTGAAGAGACCCTTGTCCAGCAGGCCGAAGCAAAGAGGCAGTCCTGAAATCAGCAAAATCAGGGAGCTGGACAGGGGAAAGATTGTATTTGTCCTCAGGGTGGAAGAAATGGTCACTC